CCCAAAGAAAGTTAGAACGGCTTTCCATTCTAAAATATGTTGTTTTTCTTCACTTTGTACATATTTTTCTATATTGTATATTGGTTGAGAAATGAATAATCTTAAGGGCGTTGGACACCATTTGGTTATCAAAAGATTCCTTTTTGGTGAACATTTGTATCTAAAAACGCTTGGTGATCAGAAGTACATTTTCCTTATATAATGAATAAAATTAGTAACAAAGTTTAATACATAAAAAACTCATCACACATTGACAATTTCAAAAGAATAATATTCATTCTTCTTATTCCATCAACCAAAAAATGATGAAGATCTTTTCACTTTTTTTTTACGATGAGAATAATGAGACACTTGCTACAATATCGTACAGAAAAGTTTTGTCTAAGAAACCCCAATTATTTCTGCTTGCCAAAAACATTCTTCTGGTCGAATAAGAGTTGTATTTTCTCAATTCGTATAGATATCTACACACCAGAAGTCGAAAATCCCGAAACTTCTAAAAAAATGTATAAAATTCTTCTCTCTATTGATAACTAGAACAAAATCTAAAAATTGTACTTGGTCAATCTATAGTCGCACCTCATTTTAAAATCAATCGGAACTCTCCAGCATCTGTTTAGACGGAGATTTTTGTAGAAATACGAAGACCGATAAACGATTTTCAAAGAAAATGTTGGTACATTTTAAAACTTGTAGGAAAATGCTTCGTCTCATTTTGACCATCAAAGTTTCCCTCAGAAATCTACTCGTACAGGAAAAAGTTTGATTGCAATAACTTCTAGGGAAAACTAGTATCTTGTCTATAAAGCTACTTGCTTTAAATCATAGAAAATAGTTCTAGAGTATAAAGAGATATCTGAAAGTAGACACTCTGTTGACTGTGCTGTTGACTATCTCAGAAATAATATCATTGAAAAAAGTTTTCATTTTTAAGACAACTAGGTTTTCAGCTCATCTTCACTCATAATAACACCATTTTTGCCTCCGATACTATGTCACCACATCTCTTCTTTTATTTTCACACAAGAATTCACAGAAGAATTCAATGTACTCTCTAACTTATTCGTTTATCGCTCTAATGGAAAAAGATACTATAACGTATTAATAGCTCAATTTCACTCACATTGTTTGTAACTGTTATTACAGCCGGAAAAAAGTAGTAGATCACTATTCGTTGTAGTAAAATGGTACCAATATAAAAGAGAAAAATCGTACAAATTTTTTGCGATTAAAAAATGTAGATTCAGGTTATAGATTCTTTTATTTTTGCAAACAGCCATGACACAATAAATGGAAATAACTGAAGATGCATCTTCTTGTATTGGAGTTGGCAGAGACGGAATTTTCCTGTTATTTTTGATTTTTCACAAATATTGTAAAAGAACAGATTCTCTATGATAGTTAGAAAATCAAGTCCAGTTTTATTCGTAACTGCTAACAAAAGTGAGAAAAAAAACATTTAATATTATACATAATGCTAGTTTTGAACTAAATTTTCAACGCTTCTGTATAAGTTTAGAATAAGCTATCAAAAACACCTGGAAAATAGATCAGTGTTATTCTTTGATTAGTAGTACGATAGCGTATTAAATCCAATTTACCGATCCAATGGACCGAAAATGTTTTGAGGGGGTCGTTCACGGGCGCCCAAGGACGTCGATGACGGAAACTTTGCCTCCATAGCAGTCCCCCATAACAGATATAGACAGTCTTTTTTTAAAGGGTCATGATGAATCAACATTTGAGGGTGGAAAAGTGTCTGCCAAGAGATGGATCGTGAATGATAATGATAGTTTATCATATCCTTTCTTTGCAAATATTTGCTACATGTTAAATATACTTATTGTACTTTTAGCTTATGCCATTAGGACACTTAATAATTTAGTTTCGATAATACGTCATACAGATTTGTCGTCGTTCGATATCACAGTAGTTAAAAGCTAGACAAAAAGAAAAAATATCCCAGGTAATCCAGATATAGTTCTTTGCATTAAGGTAATCAAGCACACTGGAATGCTACTCTGCAACCTTATCAACTTTTTCGCTTACAGAAGTAAAATCACGAGTGTATAATAGAAGAATACGACAAAAAGTGAAAATAAATAGAAACTACTCGAGTATCTACGTTTTATACATAATGTTTCTACTAACTACAGAGAAAGTATATCTAACATATTCTTCAAATGAATAATCTCCGTATTACTTGTCAGGTATACTTTGTTAATATAGCATATGAGCAAGCGCTGAAACAACATATGAATAACTTGTACAAAAATAACTTTCTATCACTTTTGTTACCGAAGAAAACGATAATTTCACAAGAACAAAAAAAACGAATTTTTAATAATCATTTTGTTTAAAATACCCAGAGTAGCAGACACAAATACAAAAGTGTCATTATTTGATACGCATTAACGGTATGTTACTTATTTTTAAACGACTTACTGGTGCCACCTTGTATATGATCACCACTTATATTATCTCGTTCACGTGTTGATAATCCACTTGTTGAATCACGATGTCGACGTCGACGAGACAAATTTAACCATAAATAAACGCCAATTAAAATTGATAATATTAGAAATATCATCCATTGTTAGATTTAAACCTTTATTAAAAATAAAGTATAAACCTGAGCACAAAGGGTTAAAAACCCACTTTAGCACTATACGCAGAAACACACACATGTAACATAAGAACGTAAAACATAACAAGAGAGAAATAAATAAAGAAAAAAATAGAAGAAGTCTTCGTCTTATCCCTAGGGACATCACACTTGCACTATTGGTTTTCAATGGTGTTATTGAAGCTAATGATGCTCAACCTAGAACTAGAGCTCAATTTAGTCTCATCACATGTAGCACCCACTTAATCGAACTTAATGTTGATACGTGACAGATGGAAATCCAGGCTGCTTAAAGCGATTATTCATAGATATAACTTTAAAACAGAATGATATATCTCTATCATATCTTCATATTTCATCGAGTCATATAACATAAGTAATGACATTGTTATGGTTGCCGTAGGCATTATGTCAACAATCTCAGAGAATAGCAGTTTTCGTTGGTTTTGGTATAAAGGACAATGGAGGAAAAAGTGTTCAAGTGTCTCATTCGCACCGGGTCAGCAGTGAGATTGCTAATGTACAAATCATGCCTTAGTTGAGTTCGATCAACTCGACATCGACAAAAATGTATTTCATCTAAGCGATTATTTATAGTAGGAAATCTTTTCTTGACCAATGTTTTAATATTCTTTTTAAAAGAATTCAACTTCATTGTGCTATGTGTACTAAATGGTAATTCTTGCCAATCAATACGAGCTTGACAAAAAAATGATTCTCTAAATATTTTTGTTCTGGGAAATGGCTGCCAGTGCTGATCATTTAGTTGACTACGAGTATTATAGTTAGCAAAACTAGTATAACTCTGCAAGACAAAGTCATTTAAACCTGCTGGACATCTCATTCTGATTAGAACACTCTGCTCAACATAGCTCCATGTCTTTTAAAACCGATAACTTTAAAAATTTTAATTAAAACATAAAATTTAGAAAAGGTGATTTTTAGGGCTTTCAGAAATCTTTTTCAAAATCCTCCAAAAACATTAAATTTTTGGCAAACTGTGATGGATTCTGAAAGATGACACTTTGGGATACGGAACCGTATGGTTACTTCAGTTTCGAAGGTTTCGATGAAAACATCGAATTTCTGAGAGGAGGCCCTTAACTCTCTATGAGCTAAGATTCTTCTAGTACAATGTGCGGATAAGTCCGTTATTTGTCTTATTCCACTGTCTCAAAAAAATCATTCTGACATTTTCCGTTCGTGCAAAGACATGGAGTTCTTCATAATTCCATCAAGACAAGGATAAAAATGGAAGGCTTGCCATTTTTTTCTTTGTCTTTCTTATATTCTTCGAGCCATTAGTCATGTATATCACCCTATCTTATGCCACCGGTCATTTTTAACGAACAACTCGAAGTTTCTATGCTTTCATTTCTTAAGGTGAACGTCTCAAGTTGTAAAATCCTTAAAATAAGAATACGAGCTCACTAAATCCATGCTAATTCGAATTTCAAAAAATCACGCAGTGATTGCTGACTAGCAAGTAAATCTCTTAAGGAAGCAGAAAAAATTACACACAGCATCGATCATTCCTTTGACATCACATGAAATTAAACAATTTTGACTACTAATGAAGAAACGATGCTGACATTTGTCCTATTCCAGTTGAACTTGTCTAGTGAACATAATACATGTACGTAATACAATTGAACTTGCACAATTTCTATTATTTGGAAATTTTTGTTTATCTTGTATATATTTTAATTAGAAATGATTAATCAATTTAATTTAGTCTATGAGTACATATGAGAGACGAAACAAGAAAAACATTTTAAGGAACAAAATGAGACAAAAAATTTATGAGAGACGAATCGAGAGAACACCCTTCAATCTGATACATAAAAACACGTTGCTTCACTGCCCAGTAGTGACTGATCTGTATGCATCGGAATGCAAACCCATCGGTGTAATCATTTAAGCATGATAGTATACTCCGTCATAATCCTTGAATATGCAGAAAAAATATAGTATCTGTAGAGAAGATTAGTAAAGTACTAAAAACATCATTCATGAGAAATATCAAAGCATAAAGTTGGTATATGGAATGTTTGTGAAAGAAAAAAAGACAAACTAATAGAAAATAGAACAGAAAAAATCACTAGGATCACTATGAACTGTTTAAACGATGAATGAATGATAATTCTGACCTTGATCAACAAACGTTGTAGATAGAGAAATCGTAAGAAACATTATATAGCTAATCCATTCTGTTTCTTTCTCATATGGCAATATACATATATGAAAATATGTTATAAAATGTAATTATTTTGATTGTTCCGGGTAAAATAACCTCAAAAGTACAAACAGATTCTATTGTTCGACAGTGGATTTATATTTTCTCTTGAAATGAAACATCTATTATATTAGTACAATGGCGTGTGCATTTTCATTACCATCGCCAGATGAAAAAACGTCAGTTGCCGTGATAAACGATGTATACATATCTGAATCAAAAGATATTGAAAATTTTCGGGTTGATGCTCGAAAACACTCAGTTATTCCGTTAACGGCTCGAAAACCGTCTATGCGCGAAATATGGCCAACAAAATGCGATTATTTGATAACAACATTGGGGGGCCTCATCGGACTAGGTACAACTTTGCACATGAGAAAGTGAGCTATAAAACATTTATTTTTAACATTTTAGGGAGTATATGGCGTTTTCCCTACTTGGCGTTTCAAAATGGTGGAGCAGCATTTGTTATTCCATATGTGATTATTAGTTTACTATGTGGTATTCCTTTGCTCATAATGGAAACTGGCCTTGGACAGTTATCACGGAGAGGACCGGTCGGCTGTTGGAATTTTGCACCAGCAATGAAAGGCATTGGTATTGCATCTGTATTTATGTCCTTTTTTGGTGCATTGTATTATGTTATTATAATGGTTTGGTGAGCAGATTTAATACACTCGACCTTGTGATAAGATAAAGTCTGGTTCTGTTCTGTTAGGGGTACCGTTTATCTATTCTATTCCTTTGCTTCTATTGGAACACAATTGCCATGGAGTGATACAACACAAGACAAGTTAGCAGGTAGTCATCAAGATTTTTATTTATTTTTATCTGTTACATCTTAAACCTACTAAACAAGACACTTAACCGCAGAAAAGCCATTCTCCTTTACCCATAAACGGTAGAAGAGAAAGAATACTCTAGCTGCCGGATGACTTTGCTGATGTAACGGAAGTTTCAATAGCCCAGCATCTTCTCTACAGCTGACAGCTTCTCATATGATCATCCATCAACTACAGCTCTTACTAGAAAGCTAGCACGACGCAGAGATTTTCCACCTAATCGTTACAGCTGCTCATGGACATTGACTAGCCTTTCATACGGCCTTCTCGAAAAGCCACGAACACTAATCAGAATAAATACAATAAACCACAATATGGTGATTGTTTTATCCGGACGGATGATCAGAAGAGCTTGATTATCACACATGAATATCCAAGATTGTTACATAACTTGTTATCAACAAGGTTTTGATATCTTCGAAGTATGCGACGAACAATATAGCTGCTAAATTATGCCGTCGGATGCGAATCTTTCATTCTGATAACTTTTTCTAATGATATGAACTTCATTTAGGCATAAATTCTACATTCCAGTTTTCAAATCACAGTGTGGTTGAATCTGTTGAAATATTTTGGAGTAGTTTTGTGCTGAATATCTCACAAGATTTATGTGGTCTATTATCATTTCATTGGCCAAACGTTGCCTGTCTGTTTATTGTATGGTGTATGATCTACTTGTGTTTATGGAAAGGTATTAAACTCTCTAGTAAAGTTGCCATGTTCACTGGTAAGCAGTAATCATGTGTTTGACACTGTTCAGTGTTATGATTATAAATCGTTATAGCGTTATTTCCATACGTACCAATGATTGCATTGTTTATCCGTGGTATAACACTGGATGGTTCATGGTACGGACTACGTTATTATCTAGTACCTGATGCCAAACGACTGTTAAACTCAAAAGCTTGGAGTCAAGCGGCCGGTCATGTTTTGTGGGCATACGCTATCGGATGGGGTATCATTCCTGCTCTGTCTTCGTATAATCGTCGAGATTACAATTTCTATAGAGATATTCTTATAACTAGCACAACAAGTATATTTACAAACATTTTCAGTGGTTTTGTCGTTTTTCCCGTGAGTATTCTGTTGTTTAAATTGATTTAGAGATTTTTAAAGGAGTTTTTAACACGCATAAGTTGTACATCTATTATTATTTTAAATAGTTATTAGGCTTCATATCTGTGAAAAACAATGTAACGATTGAACGCGTGTTATCAAGTGGTCCAGGACTGGCATTTATTGTTTATCCAAAAGCTATTTCTTTGATGCCTTGGGCACATTTCTGGGCGATTATGTTTTTTACTATGATACTATTTCTTGGAATCGATTCTCAATTTGTACGTCTTACTGCCAATTCAAACGTAAGCGCAACGACTAATACCGATGTTTCTTTCTTTCAAGGTTACATGTGAGGCGGTGTTAACAGCCATAACTGATAAATTAACTGATTTACGTATTCAAAATAAAATAATACGTCGTGAAACAATTGTAGCTGTTTATGTACTGTTATCGTTTGTATGTGGTTTATCAATGTGTACGCGAGCCGGATTTTACATATTTATTATATTTGATTCTTATATTTGTGGTGGATTGCCATTGTTAATTATATGTATTATTGAAGTATTCACCGTTCTCTTCTGTTACCAAAAAAGGTTTCATACTTGGTTTGAAAAATGGCCACCAGATGAATGGCCAGGAAAATTGTTTGCAATACACATAAGGTAAAGAACGATAGAAATCGAGTATTTGTTATACTTTTAAACATTTTGTTCTTTCAGTCTAACAGTAAAAAGAAATATGACATATATTTGGTTTTGTTGGCTGTTTGTTGTACCTATTTGGTTATTTGGTATGCTTTACATTACGTTGAGAAGAGTAAAACCGATTGGTTTCGAAAACTATGTCTATCCGTTATCAATCCAAATAGTTGGATATTTTTTAACGAGCATAGCGCCGTTGAGCATACTCGCATACGCTGTATATCACTATTATGCAAAAAAAAGTCAGTTCACTATCCATTTTTGAGTATGAAACAAGATATATATATATAGAAGAACTACGCTGTACAATTTTATTGTTAAATATTATCTTGTGACATAGTGAACGTTTCCACAAATACCAAACGTTACTAGTTATAAACTAAAAACCATAAAAAGGTGTTTGTTTAAGCCCCCCCTCAAAAAAAGCATTTTTCGACAAAAAAATCAACTTGGGTATTTATGCATAGTTGTACAGCCCAATATATCTGCTTTCGAATGCACTATGATTTATTGGCTTTACGATGGTTTTTAAGGGTTTTACAGCAGATAAATTTATAGATTTTTTTCATAAATCAGTGATTTATTATGGTGTTTCCGTGGGAATAACGCTTACATATGGGAAAAAGTACGTCGCACATGTCTCTACATGTGCCCATTCGATTCGCCATAGCCGATAACCTACGACGAACTGCTCTCAGTTTTTTCCCTGTACCCCTTTTCAAAAAAAATCGCGATAATCAAAGGAGAAATTTGTTTTGCGTTTTTCTCGAAACTGTTTTTTTTTGTTTTACCGGATTGTGCGTCAAAGATTTCTCCGCCATTTTAAATGCTAGAAAGCTCGGAAATGTTTTAAAATGAAGCTAAAGCTCAGCGCTACAACAAAGCCAGAATTTTTGTTTTCAATGTAGTTTTTTTACAAAAAAATCAAGTTTTCTAAAAAGTAAAAGTAAATTTTTTTAAAAAACCTTCCCAAAAATAATTTTCAAATTTAAAAAAAACCTGGCTTTGTTAGGCTGTAGGGGTAAGTCTTCCCTGCATTTTGACACCACCCCGAGGTCCGTATCATGCGAGAAAAATCTTTGACACACGAACACCTACTGTTTGACCCTTAATATTAGAATAACTCTCGCAAAACTCAATATTTTGAGCTCAATTTTTTACTGAAAACTATCCAAGGTCAAATACATATTGAGTAAAAATTTCACGAAGATTGAGTGCTCTGGGAAAAAAATAGATTTTTGACGGGGGGGAGGGGAGCCCTTAACATATGTTTATTAGATCAAGACACAAGTTAAGCCTTTACCCCCCTTGGTCACTGAAGTGACTATTTGTAGGTCGATGGGAAAAAATTAAGAAAGCATGAAATTTAAAAACTTTGGGAAGATATCTTGTAGCGAACTCTGTAAGCTATCGATTGGTAAAAGAAATATTTTGTTACATTGTTTTGTCTCCGAAAAAGGTGAATTACAAAATCGATGACTTTTAGAAAATCACAAAAATTGGACTTTTTTCGGAAAATATTTTTCTTCCAACAGGCAAGATACATCTTGATAACCAACCTATTGTGTGGTATATAATGACAATAATGTCTACCACCAATATCAATGCCTTTAGAAAGTTTCAGAAAAGCCAGGTAGATAAGAAATGATATGATACAGAATGTCACTCCAGTGACCACTGGGAGGGAATGACTTGAAAAGGTCCCATTTTGGGCTTTCGTAAATCTGATATAGTTCGACCAAAAAACGTCGCAGAGAGTTCGGGACATCTCATTTTGTAAAGAATTGTTTGCTCTATCATTCAACGTAGTTTGAAAAAATTTTGTTCGCAAGTTCTAGGTGCCGGAAAACTAGGGTTTTGGTTTTCTAGAAAATTCTATTATTGGGAATCCAGTGATCATTTTTATTTTCGCAGATCTTAGTTAGCAACAATTTTCCATACTCAAACCACTATTTAAATTCTTTTTAGCGTTTATGGTTGCGAAAAAATCGAAAATACACCCAGTTGATTAATTTTTGTAACCACTGTAGTTTCCCAGGATCTAGTACCTGCAAATAAACTAGAGCAAACAATTCTCTACAAAATGAGATATTCCCGAGCTCTCTACGACGTTTTTTGGTCGAACTATATCAAATTTACATATTTGGTCGAACTACAATAATTTTACTGTTTTATGATAAAAATATGGTCCAAGCGTAGAACAAAAGAGAAATGTCGAGAGATTTTTCTGTACGAAACGAAAAGTAAACATTTTTGTTCTTTCCCTTCCTTCTGATGCCTGATTAGCGCTGCTTATTAGTAATTCATTCACCAATATTTTGTTTGATGTGCATAGGATGAAAGGATTCGAACGGCAGAACGTATGGTTGCGCCGCTGGTTTCCTATGCACAACTGTTCTAAAGCGTTTACTGCCCAAGTCTTTGATCACGCGAACGTCTATGTCCGCTTTATATTTGGGTCTTTGTCATCATATGTTTGAGAATCTCGAGCATCTCATAAAACGGTTTTTTAGTTGTTATGTAGATGTCATCTCGAAATCGAAAGCATAATTCTTTTTCACTTACTTGTATAGCCAGTAGTTCTTGTTTCTAATCCTGCATGTAAGCATCTGCTGAAATCTGCGTGACAGCGTTGCCTATCGCCCCTCCTCTAATTTGCTCATAATACTGATCTTTTAGGATGAAAAATGAATTGTCTAATACATGACGTAGCATTTTAGCAATAGTTTCTATCGAAGTTTCTCCTATTTTTGAAACTTATTTCTAACTAAAAACCTAGTTATAGCTTGGATGGACTCTCGCTGGGGGATCATGGTGTAGAGGTCTGTGATATCAAAGGTGAACTAATGGATCTCATCCATGACTTCATACTCCTCAAGTAAGTCTAAAAATTTCAGCGAATTCTCTCCCTAACGTGTAATGCGATGTCCCTCTATCAAAAACAGGTCGCAGTTTCTGGTATAAAAAAGAAGACAGTTTTGCTGTCGGTGATTTGATTCCACTAACTATCGGCCTTAACGGTTCGCCTATCTTGTGATCTTTTGGATTGTAGTATAAATGAGGCAACTCATAACCTTCCTGAGAGGGTTTTAGTCACTCGTACTGCCATTGACACAATTGTTTCTTTCTAATTAACCCACGTAGGAATAAATCAGTATTGTGAATCATTTGCCTAATGGAATTATAAGTAATTTTCTTGTAGGTACTAGTTTTTACCATAGACTCATCAGATTTCCTATTGTATGTCTCTGGTCTATCAAGATGAAAAATTTTTGATTTGTTCGTTTTTCGGAAAATTACCGTCTGTTGTTTCTGTTGCTGTTTGAAGTAATTAATCGCTTTCTCAAAACTTTTGTCGATCTTTTCACGGGAAATCCTATCAAAAATTTCTTCCTTAACTCTAGTCGCAAATTTATCTACTACTTGTCGGGAGATGTTTCGTGCACGTATATTTTCATTAAACTTGAGCTGTATCTTATCTCGCATAGTTTCTACTTCATATGACAGACGGCGAAGTGCCGTTTTAGGGTTAGGTTGAACATAAGCAGGACCTTTATTCAGTATTGATCTTTGGTATCCATTCAAATTTAACGCCTAATTTTGGGAAAGAAATCCTATCGCACTAACACACAGTGGGCATTTAGGCGGCATTTTGGTGAAAAATCGCGGGTTCGAATTTTTATATTTTGAACCATGACATATATACTATAAATAATGCCTTATTTAACGGTGAAAAGTTTTTGCCCCTAGCTTCTTCGAAAGTTGAGAAAATTAAATTACAAAATTATCAGTAGAGTTAGTATGCTGGCGCGTAAAATTGCATTTTCTCCGTCAAATTATAAGTTTTTTTCAAAAACAATGACATATATAGAATCGCCATCTGTTCGGCTATCTAGCCGTAAGAAAATTTTCGTCAGACAAAGTTAAATTTCGGGGAACGCGCGAAGATCTTTCCACGGAACTCATCCAAAAAAAAGACGTCCTCATAAAAATGCAATCGCTAAACTCCGCTGAGCAGCTATTGATATGAAAAATAGCTCAAAATGTTCGTCTCAACCTCCTTTACATATGCTGATCTCACAAAGTCTCCCAATTCTAGGGGTGCTGAGTTACAGGCTTGTCAAAAGCCCTTCGAGTATTTTGCAGTTTTCTCCCTCAGAAAAGCACTTTTTCTTGAAAGTAAGATTATATTCGGAATCAGCGTGAAAAACTGCATCGAATGATGTATAACTTTTTAATTTTTCTGCAGAAATATTTTCGATCAAATTGAATTATAGACTTGAAAGCTTATCCGCAGCAAATTTTGCTTAGGAATTTGGATATTTATTTTAGCAATAGTACACAAGTCTATAAACACATTTTTTATAGGTTTTCGAATATGATCTTTCGAATAGTGAGGTTCTTGAAATGTAAAAATATTTTTTATGGATTTTCCAGAGATCCGGTCTCCAGAAAACCCACAAGGAATTACTTTTGAGTACTGAAAATCTCATCATTAGAAAGAGCATATTCGAAAACCTGTAGAAGAACGTGTTTATAGGCTTTCATTCCACTCCTACAGCATATGTCCGCCTGCTCTATAAAAAAATGCCCACTGTGTAACATGAGGATGGATATTACTACTATTACTCATTACCTTGAATTGCTTTTTGAGGCTCTTTTTTCTAAAAAATGTACTTTAATATTGGTTTTAGATTCTGAACGTTCCTTTTGGATCTCGACTATTCTATCTAAATTGGTGAGAATGCTTTTCTCTACATTGAGATAGGTTCTTATTAATGTTGTATTTTTGTCAATTTGCAATATCTCAAGATTTTTCGCTTTTATCATGCATTGTGTGAGTTTCAGTTTTGTGTCTCTTAATGCAGCGTCCCATTCTTCTCGAATAATCATTATCTTATTAATAATCATTATTGCTTGCATTCGTAAATTAAATGCAACTCGATGAAAAAACGTCATGGAGAGTTTGCTGACGTTCACTTTTGTTCAGAAATGTTTGCTCTACACGAATGGACTATTTGCATAAAGTTTCCGTTGGAATGGTGGAACTTGATACTTTTGGGTTTTCTAAAATCTTTGTTTTCCAGGAACCTGGTTTGTAGGAATTTTCATATGCATCTCTCCTGATTATAAACTCTTTCAGTTGTTCAAATTTTTTTTCATATTTGTTCTAGGACGTGAAAATAAAAGATCTCGGAAAATTAGCAGAATGGATCACAGAAGGAACTAAAGACAGAAAGGATCTCGAGAAAATGTCAGTTAAGTATTTCTGCATAAAAGATCTCGAAAAGATCTCGGAATATTTTATTTATTTTTTATACTACTTAATTAATAGCCAAAGTTATTCTTTTAAATTAATTAATTAATAGTAAAAGTTCTCACACCCGCGTATATTATACCTTCCAAACAGTGCAGTCGTTTGCAAAATGATTCTTCAATGCGAAACTTTTTGCAACACTTACAAGAATATGGTACAAATAAAAAAAGAGAACAACCTTCTCTTCCCCTATGTTCACGATAGACCTTGTACACCACCGATGTTAAATGTTTCCTTTCGATAAACACAAACGTATGAGTTTAGTGAATATTTTTTCATTTGGTTTTGACGTCGATATCTTGATCTTTAATGAAATCTGATAAATCGCTTTCATAGTCGCATAAGAGCACTTC